AGAAATAACTCAAACCTCCAGTAAATTACGTGGCTTCTCTGCAGCAGTTCCAGTCGTCTGGAATGCGTCGCCTCCTCTCTCACGGCACCGCACCTCGGCGTCGGTGTTGTCCATCTGTGGGAAATCTGAAGACTTACATTGCTTTTATGGCTTTATTTTGGTGATTTCGAAAACGTTTTTTGGTTTGGCCATGTTTGTTTGTTGAAGTACGGAGTTAGACTGATGGCCTTAATCTAAGTTGTCTTGTGGTTGTTGTTGGTTTGACTTGCATTCCACTGGGATTTTTGCACACAGCGTTGGTGTACGGTGCTTTTTCTGCAATATTTTGATGTCTTTTCTTGGATTTTCTGCTTGCACAAAGTCACATAGTCACTTTAATATGTTTGTTTGTTCATGTTTTTGTTTTTTCTTTGTTGCGGTTGCACCCGATTCAAGAGCCGAATGGCTCACAGGGCTCTACCAAATAAATTAAACTGAAAACTTGTTTATGCATAATGAAGGTTGTATTGGGTTAGATCGCCTACTTGTCAAACTTGTTTATTTACTTTATTTATTCTCCCACAAACGTCCGAATGTCCTCTTTAAGTCAAATTTATGCGCGTTACGCATTTTGCTAACGAATGAACGACTTATGCGTTGCCATCCCTATCGCCTCTTCCTCCCCACCAAGGTCGGCAAGTACACGGCGTTGCACCACGATGACCGGAATCACAATCTTTGGACCGGAAGAATCCGATGAGTGGTGAACGCTCTCTTTTGCTCACGGGTGACCACAACGGCTGTGTCCTGAAGAATCTTCTCCGTCGCCAGTCGGGTGGATGCCATGGAAGGCCCCATGTCGCTCCGGTTGCCCGAACTTGATGTTGAATGCGTCCGTTGACTTCACTTCGGGGCGTCACGGTGTCTGGAGAGGTGTTCTGTTCGTTTTGTTTCATCGCAGGTGGCGTTTGCGCACTCGGACACCAACAAGGCCCTGGCACACGAGGTCCCGTCCAAGCAGGCTGATGACATTCTCGACTGCACTTGCGACGAGGGAGAGAGCCCCCCCCCCCCCCCCCCCACGGGGAAATGTGGGCCGTGAATTGCAGGGGGTGGGGGATGGGGGGTGGGGGGCATTCCACCATAGGTGGAGTTTGACTTCAATTTTTACGGGGGGGGGCAGGGGTTCGCTTTGTCCCATCACATTAAATGTGCCCAGGTTTGGAGGGGCGTTGCCCCCCCCTCCGTGCCCCCCCTCCCACCCACCGCAAACTCCGCACATGCATTCCACATCCCATGGCCCTGCCCAGGCTCTGCCCTTTGCTCTGAGAGGACCATTCCGTCACAGGTTGCGTAATTGCAGGAAACCGAGCACTGCTCTCCACGAGAGGAAGGACAAACAAGGCTTTGGTCGTGACAAGCGAGCAATATTTCCGCCACCGTTTGTTTTGACCCAGCGAGAAAAGCCTTCACTGTGCCTCGTGGTGATGACTCATTACAGCCGGGGCTGGAAAAGTGTTTAACTTGTTATGGGTTTTTTTTAAGGTTCAGTGGACCGGTGACTTTTTTTTGCGTTGGATCGAGAAAGGCAGTTTCGATGTAAAATCAAATCAAATTATAAGCGCTTTTGTCTCGACGAACCTGAACTGTGCCGTGGCTCGTAAGCTTGTTCGAAGTTAATGAATAGTGAGGCTGGAGGCACTTGTTGGGAATGCATTCCTCTGTGTTAGCGTGTTCGGTATCCTGTGAGAAAATCACCCGGAATGTGCCCGATCCCAGTCAGACATTGGAAGCTAAGCCAGGATTTGAGCCTGGATAGCGCTGGGTGAGTGAGCACCATGTATATGAACAGGTGCGGTAAAAGAGCTACATAGCTCAGTGGACCTTACCTGCTAAAATAAATAAAAAATAGTTTCAAATTTTGAATGGAAGCCGGAATGAGGAGCGTGGACACGAGCTGGTGTCTGCGTCCGTGCCAACGATGCGCAGCGCAATGGCCGTGCCAGTGGATAGACTCTCGAACCCGTCCCGAACAAAAGATGGAAAGTCTTTTTGAGAGTCTCCTGGAACGCTCGAGAACAGGCGCCCGTTCGCAGCACAGTGGTCCTTGTATCAAGAGTCTGTTGTTTGCCAGCGACATCGATTTTAAAACGATAGACAAGGTAAGCAAGCAGCATAGCCGCCACGTGACAGCAAGCCACCCAAAACCAGCCTCACTTAAACTATTTTTTTTTTACCAGGTAAGGCCTACTGAGCGATGTGGCTCTTTTTTCAGAAGCGACCTAGCCACAATTTATAGCTCAACGACGTGGCTTATCGCGTGAACCTTTCTAGCAGCCAAATACTCTAAAACGCATGTTGATTCCAAATGTGGAGGGGAAAACCGGAGGGGCCAGAGAGAACAATCAACGTGACCACGGGGAGAGGACGCCAACTCCAAATATGTATCAGGCGTCAGGGTCCTGTACTCACGGGTGAACACTGGACAATGATGCTTCTGAACATTGTTGTTTAGTTACACTAAATACATTTTAATTCTCATATTTTACAGCACGTTTGCCAATACATTGCTGAATGAAGGCCTCCCCCATACCGTCTCAGTCATTGGGCGTTGTTTCACCATACTTTACTCGGCTGGACGGTGTGGGCTGGTAAAGGTCGGGAGGATACAGGTTGAAACATAGAAGTAGAGTACAGCAATATATGTTGGTGCACTGCCCTCTCCCGCTACTGCCCACCACGCAGCCCCGCTGCCCTATGGCAATCTGTGCATCGTGGCCACCGTGCACTGGTTGAGATATCACCCGCCACTCATGTTAGCTGTGGCCAGGAATCAAACCCAGGTTGCCTGGTTTCATCGTGCAGTTCACCAACTAGCAGGGCACCGCTCCAGCCCGTGAAATTAAACACGTGTATTGCACGTGTTGACGTACGTATCAAGTTGTTTCTATGTAGGCGTTTGGATATCATATCGGAGAGCATATTTTGCACAGTTCACCAATTATAATCCCACAGCCACCCAAAAATGCACTGGGATGTTAATGGAGGCATCCACCTTGCTGTCGTGTCGGCACTGCGTCTTGAGATGGACTGGTATTTAGATTATCTACGAATCGACATTTGTATTGAATTCCACATTGTTCACAATAACACCCCAATATTATGGATTGCCATGATTTTGGGGAATTAAATTGTCCAAAAGAGATCCACGTTTATAAGATTATCCACGATGGAAAAGGGATAGCGACGAAGCGTGTTTTGTGGCAAAGTTTAGACAACGCGGGGAACAGGAGGGACCGTCTGCAGGTTTGTTTAGAGCCCTAAAACAAAACAGCGTGCAGTACCTGCCCCCGGCACCCCAGTCACGGCGCTCTGTTGGCATTGCTAAAACGTGCGACACAGAAAAGATGACTGTAGCCAGAACTGACGCGAATTTCTACTTGGGTACGAGTTTTATTTTAATATCTATGTAGTTTTTTTTTTGTATTTAATATCTATGTATTTTTTGTGTATCTAATATGTATGCAGTTTTTTTGTATTTAATATCTATGTAGTTTTTTTTTTGTATTTAATATCTATGTAATTTTTTTGTATTTAATATCTATGTAGTTTTTTGTATTTAATAACTATGTAGTTTTTTGTATTTAATATCTATGTATTTTTTGTATTTAATATCTATGTAGTTTTTTGGTATTTAATATCTATGTAGTTTTTTTGTATTTAATATCTATGTAGTTTTTTTGCATTTTGACAAGAGCCCCGGGTATGAAGTGCGAGCAATGAAAAGTTAAGGGGGGGGGGGGGGGGCACAGAAACTCCGTGGGCAGAAGCCCTAAACGCAGTGTTCACACGGCTCTGGGGACAGGGCGAGAAATGGGCCACGCCACCCCACTCACGTAGGGACTACTTGCGAAGGAACTACATGCGTAGGAACTACTTGCGTGGGGAGTGTGATCAGGAACGCAAACTTTTTTATATAAGGGGAAGGGATGGCAAGGGAGAAGGAGCAAAAGTGAGGAGAAACAAGTTGAGAGGGTTACTTGGGCACTCGTTTAAGTCAAAGAAGGATGTGTTATGGTGCCTTGAGACATTTTCTGAAAGTGTGCCTTATAAGTGCAAATCATTGTTATGGTTGTGAACTTAACCACGCGGGCTTTCGCAAACCAACATTGAAAACGAATTTCTTTAGAATGCTCTTTGTGATTAGTTTGTTGTCTTTTCCCTTCCCCCGCCCCGCACCCCCGATAATCGCGGTTGGCTACGTACGGTGCGAAAGAAGTTCAACATACAGTGCATACACACACATTGTGATTGGTAATATTTTGTGTGTGTGTTGGAACTGCGGAATGATTTGGCCAGGCTGTTGTCGTCAGCCCTTTCACTCCCCCGACACGTGGCGCGCAATGTCAAGCAGACAGCGTCAATGGTCAGCAATATTCTTGCCCGACAAGACAAACGTGAACGATCTATTCGATCAATTTCCATTCACTAGCGGAGACAACAAAGTGCACAGGGAGGGATATGGTCTGTTCTCCTACAACGCGTGTAAGTATTCATAACGCGAATTGGATATCACGCAATGAATGCATTGGGGAACACATTTTTTTTATAACGCGATTGAGTGAATGGAACTGCATCGCGTGAGTTGGCCAAAGCAGTCGTACAGCTGCCTCGGCGTAGCATCGCACAAGGCAGCGGGATGCTGCTGGATGCTTCTAGATGCTACCCATAGGCCTCAGTCTTTGTTCGGCCTGCATACGCATCTCACGTGTTATCACGAACTGTGCTTTACCCTATATTATAAATTATAAGGTGACTTTTCAATAACGCGGTGTTCTTCAGGAACACAACTACTTCGTTATAGGAGAACATACTTCATGTGCAATGAGAAAGAGATTCTGTCAGACAGAGACAAAGCAGAGAACATTCTAAATAAACAGAGACATTAGAAATGCACATTCACATTTAGCTGTAAATGTCAACTTAAAATCACATTTGTGAGCGTGCATTTTGGGGCTTACCTCTGAAAAGCATTTGTTGTTCGTTTTGGGTTTAATGGTTCCAATCTCAGCATAGCTGGAAAGCAACACAGACAGAAATTGTTAATTAACTCATCAGCCAGAATTACTTAGTGCAATGTAAATTTATACCATATACTGGAGCGAATAGCTAATGCACACAAACAGCCATTTTGTCAATCCACTGCTGGATGAGGGCCTCCCCATACCGTTTGAGTCATGGGAGCTATTTGGCCATACTTCACATGGCTGGTCAGTGTGGGTGGGTAAAGACAGGGAGAATAAAGTGGAAACATAGAAGTACAGTGCAGCAATAGAAGTTGGTACACTGTCCTCTCCAGATACTGGCCAGCACGTTCCCCAGGTGCCCTATGGCAATCGATTTGTGGATCGTGACCACTGGTTGAGATATCACCCGCCACTCATGTTAGCTGTGGCCAGGAATCAAACTCAGGTTGCCCGGTTTCATCGTGCAGTTCACCAAATAGCAGGGCACCGCTCCAGCCCGTGAAATTGAACACGTGTATTGCACGTGTTGATCTCAGTTTACGTATCACCACTACGTAGCCCCACAGCCCTATGGCATGGTAGCGAGATGTTAACTACCTCGCCCGGTATACAAGTCGCTGGTTCGATACCGACCTTGGCGCATGCATATTTGGAGTTTGCATGTTCTCCCCGTGGTCGCGTGGATGTTTCTTCGGGTCCTCTGGCTTTTCCCTCCACATTTAAAAATACGCCTTTAGATTATTTGGCTGCTATTAATTGCCACATAATAAGCCACTTCGTTGAGCTATCATTTGTGGCCAGGTAGCTTTTAAAAAAGAGCTATATAACTCAGTGGGCCTTACCTGGTAAAATAAAATATAGATCGATGGTTTGGTGTGTGCATGGTGGTTGCATTTACAAACACTTTCCAGGCTCAATTCTACTTAGCTTCTGAGAACTGATGAGATCAGGTGCAATATTTGGTAATAGGCTGCAAAGATATTATGTTTTATTAAAAAATATATGTATGGTTAATTATTTAATGCAAGGTTATACTGCACGGTGCGTTGCGTAAAACACACAATACTCAACAACAGTTTTGGAAGAATACGATGAACACCAATGGGAATGGATATTTAATGCCCTCACATATCAACTTTTTTATTTTTGGGTTCACAGAAATGTTTCCCCTGGGGGGTTGCGATGAATGTTGTATCCTCGCCAGTAATACGGCGGATCGTAAGTTACGGTTCAATAAACAAAAGGCATTATTTCCATCCATGCGTTGATCCCCTGCTCGATTGAGAGGGCTTCCCAAGCCGTGCCACCCGAGGAGGTTGTTTGACCAGACTTCAATACTTGAAAAAGGGAAGGCCTCCGAACCGGTTCAGACATTGTTCGCCACTGATGTTAGCCGTGGATGGGAATCAAACTCAGGTCCCCCTGGTTCATGGCACTGCGTGCTAACCACTGCTCCACCGTTCCACTGCTCTGCCCTGATGCAATGTTGCTGATGCTAAAAGCACATAACCCGCTCAGAGTTTCAATCTCCACTCCGTGGAATCTTTAATAATCATGCTTATATGACTGCGCAAAGTTCTGGTCTGGTCCCAAAAAAATCTTGATACCAATCGTATTACTGCTGAAGGTGCTCTCTGTGTCACTTATAGGGTCACCTGTGTCGGTGAGTCCGCACCGAAAGCAGTGCCACATCATCATCGGGCAACAACTGATTTTTGTGTTTAGTTTGTTGTCCTTCCACCGCACCTCTGATGAGCATGGTTGGCTACGTACATTGCGAAAGAAGTTCAACATACATACAGCCCATAGACTAATACTACCATTAGACTAACACTACCCATGGACTCAACATTGAACCTCCGATTAGCACGGTTGGCGATGTACGGTGCGAAAGAAGTTCAACATACGATACATGCATAGACAAATCGAACGCATAGGCCAGAATTAACAACGGACATCCCAGCCTGGCATCTCGTCAGATCTCAGTGCGGCTTGGTAAAGGTTCCAACTTGTTTCTAAATAGTTATGAACACGTTGTGCTGTATAAGCAACTCAGAGTACACCTTCCCCAAGGATTTGACTTGCATGGACATCTGCCCTTTGAAGTGGCTGTGTACAAAACGTGGATGAAAGTATGCACATATGAATGGGCAATCTGGCTGCTAAACCAACCAGAGCCGAATTCCCTTCATTCCGCGTGCTCAAAAACAGACTAACACACAAGCACGGTCAAACCCAGCAGCCTTGAATCCTCACCGTGTAGATTATTACTTTTACACAGCATAGATTTTCATAACCACAGCCAGTTTCGGTGATGAGTGCATTTGTCAATTGCAACATCTCCGGATCGACAGCGATTCAATCGCTGAACCATACTCGGGACCCACGATTTAAAGGTTGCACAATGCCCCCACCCCCCCCCCCCCCATACTGTTTAAGGTTCCTATAGGGGCCCCGAGTTAACGCATAGTCCTAGATGGCAGCGATCGATGACGCAACACCCCACCCTCTCCACCCACTCGTAAGGCCCCTCCAGAGAGCAGCCAGAATTGCTCCTTGCACCGGGGCCTCTTCACGCTGCCTCTAGCGCATTCCCCTCACCCTAAATTGTCGATGTGGGATTGCCTGATGCACAAATGGAAAATTAAAAACTCCCCGGTGGCGTGGCGAATGTGGTCATCCAGAACAGAGCTTTAACAACGTACCACAACGCAATGCCCGATCCACAAATACGTAGGAGACGTCACAGCGATGTCTCCTACGTACGGTTGTTTGGCTTGAACATCTGAATGTGAAATTGTAGTTGTTGCTCTGCAGCATCGACATCATTAGCCGCACGAACGAAGAAAGATAAGAGAGGGATACCTGACCCTGCCTGTATGCGCCAGAGTGGAGGAGCTACTTTGTTTAATGGCTCTACAGCGTGGCGAATCGACTGTAGAACGAGCGGCCCACAACGTTCTGGTTGCGAGTTCCAATCCGGGTTGGGGCTTGGCTCAGCCCGTCATCCATTTGTTTGTAGTTGATAAAATTATAATTGCTAAGTTATAAATTATCCGATTGTCTTTGTAATGTTCGCCTTTTGGCATTCTCTGGTCTGACACTGGTGGGACAAGGCCATATAGAAGGCTATCTTCGGTACAGGTCATTCAGTTTCAAGTACAATGCATATATTATCAGAGCATACATTGTTTGCATGTTTTGCCACAAGTTTGTGTGGTTAATGCAGACTTGATTCCTTGCACATCTTAACCCTTCCTGTTCAATTAGTCAAACCTATTCTTAATTTTCATACTCTGATACTGGCAACAATAGGTCCCAAAGATAAAGTAAACAGTGCTTGTCCTTTGGGAATACTCGCTCCCACCATAGGAATCTGGAATCTCCACCACTCGATCGGGGCTGCGAATGGGAAATAACCACCGATGCCTCAACGCTCATTTTAAGAGCAGGAGATCACCGTCATTTTTCAGAATACCAGACGATTCATTTAAATTGGAGGAATCCGATGAGCTACAAAGCTCATTTTCACAGACTCAGAACGCGTCCTTTGCACCCATCGTCAAAATATTGCGGCGTTGATCGTACTTGTGTCGGGGAGCAGGAAGGCAGCATGGCTGCCATCGGTCGGGAACACGTTTCCCTCCCTCTTTGGTTCTTTCGGTAAAGTCACGTAGAAAGAAAATCAATTTAAAAATAGAGTACGACGTTTCGATTGCAACGCAAGCAACCGTCATCAGGTAGAAGTAAATTTGAGAGAGAGACAAAACACAGACACGGAGACACACAGAAAGACACACAAAAGCAGAGAGAGACAACACAGTGTACCTGTCTCTGTGTGTCTCTGTGTTGTCTCTCTCTGCTTGTGTGTCTGTCTGTGTGTCTATGTTGTGTGTCACTCTCTCTGTGTGTCTCTGTGTTGTCTCTCTCTGCTTGTGTGTCTATGTTGTGTGTCTCTCTCTGTGTCTCTGTGTTGTCTCTCTCTCTCTGCTTGTGTGTCTGTCTGTGTCTATGTTGTGTGTCACCCTCTCTGTGTGTCTGTGTTGTCTCTCTCTCTGCTTGTGTGTCTGTCTGTGTGTCTATGTTGTGTGTCACTCTCTCTGTGTGTCTCTGTGTTGTCTCTCTCTGCTTGTGTGTCTGTCTGTGTGTCTATGTTGTGTGTCACTCTCTCTGTGTGTCTCTGTGTTGTCTCTCTCTGCTTGTGTGTCTGTCTGTGTGTCTATGTTGTGTGCCTGTCTCTGTGTGTCTCTGTGTTGTCTCTCTCTCTGCTTGTGTGTCTGTCTGTGTGTCTATGTTGTGTGTCACTCTCTCTGTGTGTCTCTGTGTTGTCTCTCTCTGCTTGTGTGTCTGTCTGTGTCTATGTTGTGTGTCACTCTCTCTGTGTGTCTCTGTGTTGTCTCTCTCTGCTTGTGTGTCTGTCTGTGTCTATGTTGTGTGTCACTCTCTCTGTGTATCTCTGTGTTGTCTCTCTCTGCCTGTGTGTCTGTCTGTGTCTATGTTGTGTGTCACTCTCTCTGTGTATCTCTGTGTTGTCTCTCTCTGCTTGTGTGTCTGTCTGTGTCTATGCTGTGTGTCACTCTCTCTGTGTATCTCTGTGTTGTCTCTCTCTGCTTGTGTGTCTGTCTGTGTCTATGTTGTGTGTCACTCTCTCTGTGTGTCTCTGTGTTGTCTCTCTCTGCTTGTGTGTCTGTCTGTGTGTCTATGTTGTGTGTCTCTCTCTGTGTCTCTGTGTTGTCTCTCTCTCTGCTTGTGTGTCTGTCTGTGTGTCTATGTTGTGTGTCACTCTCTCTGTGTGTCTCTGTGTTGTCTCTCTCTGCTTGTGTGTCTGTCTGTGTCTATGCTGTGTGTCACTCTCTCTGTGTGTCTCTGTGTTGTCTCTCTCTGCTTGTGTGTCTGTCTGTGTGTCTATGTTGTGTGTCACTCTCTCTGTGTGTCTCTGTGTTGTCTCTCTCTGCTTGTGTGTCTGTCTGTGTGTCTATGTTGTGTGTCACTCTCTCTGTGTGTCTCTGTGTTGTCTCTCTCTGCTTGTGTGTCTGTCTGTGTGTCTAT